GAGAATTCAGCACATCCTATGCTAATCTAACAGCATTCCTAGCACTCTGCTATATCTTCTGTGAATCATTCACTCAGTTGGGATGAGGTTTCAAATTGGCAGGAAGTCTTTCAGGTTGCAGAGCTTAGTTAAGTAGAGCTGTGATTAATCTATACAAGTCAATATCAGCTTAAATAAGTCTGTATTATAAAAATAGAAAAGCAATGAAGCTATTCCGTTTTTATTTGAGTTTATTCAGTGGTGTTTCTAGCAACACAAACAAATTGAATTGAAGTTCTATTTACATAACAGGAATATCCTTAGCACCGTGTTCCTTGGCATACTTTTAAGGACAACTTCTTGAAAGAATACTTTGAAATTAGATGGCGAATTTTGAAATAATAGGAGGATGAATAAAGTGCTCAAACAGGTTTTCAGTTAACATTAACAAATAGTACTGATTGTTACTTGAAGCGAGGCTGACATTTTGCTGTGCAAAGTAACAAACACCCAACAAAAATGGCCATCCAAATGCAGGTCTGAGCCAATGTTCAGATGGCAGGAAGTAAGGTAAGGTAAAACGACAAAATTCCAAAGGTCATTTTGAGTGAAACCAACATGTTTCAGGCTTCAAAGAAGTTGATATGAAAGATACAAATAGCAAAAAGTTTCTAAATGTGCTTTATATTAGGAGGACAAAGATTAAATTTGAAAAGTAGATAGGCAGTAAGATTATGCCAAATCACAAAAATTTATTTAAGTCTTGTGAGCTATAAAGTGAGTGATTAAGGTACGTTGGGATACTGCAGGGAAAATGCTTTTTGTAACACACAGAGCTCATTTCAGTATTTAAAAAGTAATCAGTGGGACTCCTGGAAATTGAAACTGTATTACTGATCTATTAGTGATGAACATATCCAAAAAAAGGTGATAAATAAGAACTAGGTGGTACAAGTGGCAAGAGTCATCTAAATAAAAATCAATTTCTTTACAAGTTTGTGATTTTCCTCCAGAGTATGATGTTGTTATAGAAGAGCAAGTGTTATCAATATTGTAGTACTTTATGACTGTTAGAAAAACACTTGATCTTTTGATTACTCAGTGAAGGAAAAATGGATTAAGTTGCAGAACTTTGGAGGGCAATTATTTAGGTTAATCCAAACTGAGAAATAGCACCTGGAATTGTATGAAAGTTAAACAAGCTAAAGATAGAATTATAGATGCAAATTTTGGCAACTGTAAAAGCAAAATAAATCACATCATTGGGAAAAGTAGCTTGAAGTATTGCTGAAATATCAATGACAACTCTAGAGGTATCTTCCAACCTAAATAATTCTATGATTCTGTGATCAAATGTCAGACCTGCACTGAGCAACGAATTGGACCTGATTGACATGTTGAGACTGTAATTTGAACTACCAACATGAGAAAAAGATATGAGCATTAGTATGGATTATTACCTTTTATGGTTTGTCTATTATTTATCAAAATACAGCTGGAAAGTGGAAGAACTGAAGTCTTTTAAAATTTAGGAAGTACATAGCTTAAAAATGAAGACGTGTGGATAAAAAGACAATTCTGTATTTTTAACCCAATATCAGTATCTTCAGTTGAACAGCTACATTTCTTATCAATCAAGAATGTGACTTAATGTTTTGTGATGCATATGCTTGCCTATCAATCTCACTGAGTTTTGGTTATCTACTGTATTATTGATTTTGATTGCAACTTATTTCTAAGTGAACTAAACCAATATCCCGCTATATAAAATTTTATATGCAAGGTTTTAAAACTATGCCTGTGGAAAATAGGACAAGATCGTTGCCTATTAGGAATCTTTCTATGGACACTGGAAAAAAAAAAAAAAAAAAGTGTTCAGTAGGATAAGAAAGCTGTCACTTGCCTAAATGGCTGTTGCAGTGTGTTGTTTAATCCTTCAGGTTACTTAAGTTACTTTTCACTGCTTTTGTCCAGGACAAAAGCAAACAGTTGCTGTAAGGTTTCCTTTTGCTGCATCTTCCATCTCATACTTTTACAAGTGAGTGAAGACTAGTAGGAAGTTTTTTCTTCATTGTATTGGTGCCTGTGCTTTATCAGAAGTTTGTATGTTTGGATTAAATAGACCTAGGCACCTTGCCCACTTTAATTTTATGTAAACTATTAATAAAATAGAACATTGTGGAAAATAGTGATGACCATATTGATAATTCGATTATTTTTAAAAAAAACAATTACATACATTATCTTAACACAACACTCTGTATGTCAGAATTATTTTGTCAACTGGCAAAAGTCCTGAAGCATGAGGAGCTTCTGTAATGATTTGAAAGTTTCTAATTATAATATCAACATATTCTTTGATCTGTATTTGTGAATATTTAATTTTATGACTTTCCATTTGTTACTCATATTTTCAGTGACAGTTCCCTTGTTGGGTCTCATATTGTGTAGTTTTACAAAGTAAGGAACTCTTAAACTTCTCTGTGAAATAACCGTATGATATTTTCAGTTCCTTCTCAAAAAGTAGTTTTCCATATCTCAAAGTGCACTCATTAACACTTGACCTAGTAGTTAATTTTGCACAACAAATTGTTTGTTTTTCCTTAATGAAACAATTTTGATTGCTTCTGATTTTGATTCACAGCAATTCTTTTGCAACTTTATTACTATTCAGACAACCTATTGCATACAGTTGAAACCTGAAATCTGGTGGGGTTTTTCCCCCCCCTGCAATCTTCTTCAGTATTCTTGTGATTTTGGTATATTTTAATCTAGTTTACCATATGTTGAGAGCTTTCCTAGTTATTGCTGGCCAATCGCGTTGTCTTCAAAATGTTAAGACAGCCAGTGGAAATTTTTAGAAGCACGCTCTTATCCTTTGAATGCTATGGAACAATGTTTAGGGTGCTTTTCAGGGTCAGGATACCAAATTATAGGTCAGATCACTCAGTCACCTTTATCAATAGCAAGACTTTCCAAATGGCTCTCTTTACACAACAACACATTTTTAAAATGATAGAAGGAAGTTTCAAAACTTGTCAGTGATACCATACTTTAATAAAAATTCACCTTTTTGTATTCACCTTAGCACCTCTGCTTATCCTTCTCAAAAGAATTGCAATGAATTTCCTTCTCTAACTTAAAGATCAGAGTATTTTCTTTCTTCTTTTGACTAAGATTGCTTCTTTTGCCACCCCGTTCCTTCCCTCACTCACAATTGAGGGGGAAAGGGTAAAAAGGATGGAACCTAAAGCATACTTCCATACCACTCTCAAGCTAAACTTTTCTTGTCTAGACTTCTGACTTCACTTCTGCACCAGATTTAGCACTTCCCTGGCTTCAGGCTGCTTTTCTTTATTGCAGCTTTCTGAAGACATACTGATAAAATACTACCCATCTCATTATAAGAAAACTCTAAATGCTCAATATTTTTACTAAATTTATGAACTTTTACTAAATCTTTTCCTGTAAGTGCGATATACTAGATGGTAAAAATATGAATTGGCTTCTTGAATTAAAACATATCATCCATACCTGCAGTACATATTATATAGGAAATTCTTCTAAAAGATTTCTTTATAGTGGTGTTATACAGCACAGTGATGAATTATTGACATATAGATATATCTGTGAAGATAGTTTCCAAATGTATTAAAAAATATTTGAAGATATACCAGATCATAACAAACATTCCTTATTTAAATAACCATATCTCAGAGTTACTGCTGAATTTTGACTAGTTTTGGTAGGCTCACTGGTGTTAACGTAGCATTCTGGCAATGTATGACTTAATCATGCAATTGTCATATTTCTAGGACTTTGTCACAAATATACTGAAATGCTTTTTCGTGCATGCAAAAATGTTCTAACCTTAGGGATTTTTAACTGTTCTTAAAATAAGACTCATTATCCTTGCACTGAGTTTTTATTTTTTTTCAGCCATTGTGTTTATTTGGTCGTCAACATTTATAGGAGTTCGATTGCTTATATTTAAAACAGTTGTCTTTCCTAGCTGGTGAGCACTAAACAGAGAACTAGCCATCTTGCTAATAAACACTGCAGACAAGAAAATATTCTTTTGAAGGAAATGAACACACTAGAAATCATACCTGAAATGTTCAGTGTTTCAAAAATGTAATGTAATGCTTTGTATTGTGTTTTCATGCATTATAATTTATTTCAGTCTTTGAAAATAGCTTTGAATAATTAATTATGTAGACAGTTATGTTTGTGTAATTTATAAAATCTCTTAAAAACATTTAGTGGCTGTTGAGCCTTGAATGAAAGTCCCATATAAAATATCTGTATACTCCTCTTTAATTAGTATTTAAAAGATAACAAATTCTTACCTGCATGTTAATCACATGCTTGTATAGTACTTGGCTGTTTCCCTTGATCTATTTAATTTGCCAGTTTTCTTCATAGTTTAAGTACTTTGAGACAGGAATTGTCTCTCTCTCTGTCCTTTCTCCCCTTCTGTCAGTAGAGTGGCTAACGCAGTGGTTCTAATGATGTCTGAAGTGCTGAGATTTTCTGCAATAAAATCTATCCAAGAACAGCAGGGCTGTATAGTTATTTTTTTAACAATATCTCATGCCTTAAAATATTGCTTTGTTTATTTTTAAACAAGTAACTGAATTTTAAGCATTTTAGATAACAAGTCTGTTCAAGTAAGTCTTAGTACACAGTAATGGTGTAGTTGTATATAAAAAGGTATGAATATATAAACAGGAACCCTTTTTATATTTTATTAACTACCAGCTGCTAAGAATTCAAGGACCTTCAACTTTGTTCTACTGGAGTGGATCGTTAGATACAGTTTGTACATAAATCTAGTCTGAAACTATGGTTTTTATGATTTTTTTAATGCTATTTTGAAAAAGTAGAGTAAGGGTTAGGTAGTCTTTTTGAAGTTGAAGATGCTGTTTAGCTGATATATTTGGGATGTTACTTGCCAATGGTAAAGCTTATTAATAAATTAAACTATTATTTGACTCATTCTAGTATGTATTTTAAAACAGGTGAGGCTAATGATAAAGATGTTCAGGTGGTGGAACTTCCCATTGTTGACAGCTTACACCCACGGCCACCTTATTTACCGTTGGCTATCCCCGAAGACCTGGCTGATAGGCTAATTCGCGTACATGGGGATCCTGCAGTGTGGTGGGTCTCGCAGTTTGTCAAATACTTGATTCGTCCACAGCCTTGGTTAGAAAAAGAAATAGAGGAAGCCACAAAGAAACTTGGTTTCAAACATCCAGTGATCGGGTGGGTATTTAGTTTTCTTTTTAACTGTCTGTGCTTTAATACGTGTATATAGTGATTCCTGTTCATGACAAATGGCTTTATGATGGCTATCCAAGAGCCTCAAGCATTTTGTGGGGAGAGAGTGTGCTTTCTAGATGAAACTATTATTTTTTAACTGTGCATAGTACAAGTTGATTACAAGTACTTCTTCAGCATACTTGTCTGTTGGACAGATAGATAAAAGGCGGCTCAACAGAAGCTGTCTTTATATGTCCTTCCATATCTAGAAATGTAATCTAGAATTTCATTCAAGCCTTACAGCTTGTATTCCAGACAGTTTTCTGTCTGGGTCTTCAAGTGCCTATAGCCTTTACATTTGAGGAAAAAAGGGCTAAGCTTACATTTCACATGCCACAGTCCACAACTAATTTTATTGTTGGCTGCACCTGAACATGTCCTGCTGATGTTTTCACTGTTGTTGTTTCTTAGCAGTAACTATGAATTGGAAAGGTCCATATGAGAAGAAGGAAGGAAAGCAATAAAGAGCAGCTTGTGGAAGAAAGGTTTTACTGTCACGTAACATGAAAAATTTTCCTGCTGCTGCTGCAGATAGTGATTCCTTTTCCAGAATTGTCCTTCAGTCCTTTATCTTTCTTTTTGTAGGAGTACGCAATAGTTCTGTCCAAATGTTAGCTGGCTTTTGACCATTGAGTCGGTAGGCCATTTCACCACTGGCAGATCTGAAGACTTGTTAGGTTTCAGGCAGATGGGGAAGATGCATTTTTAACTACCTTCATTCAAACCCTGCATTGTAGTTGGTGTGCAAATATACCCATGATGCAAATATTCCTATTTTGGTTTTGAACTGTATTGATCAAGCATTAAATAACTACACTGGATAACTTAACCTTTTGCACGAAAGGAATACCTTGTATTCTATAATCAAACCACCTTCATTCTCTTCTTTCAGATAACCTTTGCCTTCCTTGTTAGATTATTTTACTGCTTTCAAGAACAGACTGATGGCTAACTTCATGTTGTCAGTGTGTCTTGATGGACATCAATGAGTTTTAATCCTTCCTTGTTTCATGTAGGGATTCAATTTAATATGGATTCTAAAAGCACAGGCATGAAATTTAAAGTTAAAATTTCAGTTGCTAAAATATGTATTGTATTTATAAATTGAATTCCTAGCTTCTGCCTTTTTCCAGTGTTCACGTCCGAAGGACAGACAAAGTAGGAACAGAGGCAGCATTTCATCCCATTGAAGAATATATGGTACATGTTGAAGAGCGATTTGAACTTCTTGCTCGCAGAATGCATGTTGACAAAAAAAGAGTGTATTTGGCTACAGATGACCCTTCATTGTTGCAAGAGGCAAAATCCAAGTAAGATGAATTATGTTTATATTATACTTTATTCCTTCTGGTTAGCTTTACAATTTCTGACCATTCTGTGCACAAATCTTAGTATAATTTTTTTTGTTATCATTTACACAATTAAGATTGCATTTCAGCTTCCAGTGATTGTGATTTTGATTTTTCTCTCAGAAATTCTCTTTTTTGGGGTGATTTTTTTTCCAAGTACGCTTTTCAAAGCTTATGTTAAAAATCTAGAAGACTTGAGCAAGATACCAGTGACTATTTCAAAAGAATTCAATGCTATTAAAGGCAAGTAAAAATAAAAATAATAAATACACCAAACTTCTTGTAGAACATATGCACATTAAAAAGACACTATTCAGAAATATCATAAAAACTAGATAATGTATAAAGAAGTTTCATCTGTCCAAACAATACCTTTCTGTGAATAGTTAGTTGCCAGAGGAATTTTTGCAAGTTGATTGTAAAGCTTCTGATGACTCTTTCAGAAAGATTTCTATATTGACAGCTAAGACGACGTTCACTCAACATGTTGAATAACTGTAAAGTTTGTCCTTAAATATACGTGGGATTCTCAGTCTCTAACATCTCTGTCCCTTTTTTGCTCTTTGTCCTCTTCTAGCTCTCCAGCATGTGGGTGTAACCCTAGGATATTCCAGCCTGTCATAGAAAATATAACTCTGTTCAAACCTGGGAATGCACAGTATGCATCCATTTACTCCTAACATGTCCTGTATTTTCCTGTAAAAACTCATAGTTAAGTTGCATGTTTTGCAAGATGTTGCTGAGATGGCAAAACTTTCTGTTTAGTAAAACAAAACAGATTCATATGGAAGAATAATGTTCCATATTTAACTGTATCCTTATTGGGTTATGGTGTTTATGGTATATAAACAATTTCACAAATGCTTATTGGCATGATTCTGGAAACTTGGATAAGTATTTCAGATTCATTCAATTTAAGCATCTTTGTTAACAAGTATAAGTTTGAACATTTTCCTTTTGAGTACTGTTTATTTATTTGTCTACTGAATAGCACCTATTTCTGTTTCCAAAATTCTATCTCCCTTGAGCAGAAGAATATGTATTTCTTTCATTTAAGCAAGGAAATAGAATTTTTTAAAATCAAGGTTACTCAAAAATGGCAAAATTTTGAACTGTTTTAACTGGATGAAAAATTTTCTTTTGCATATAAAAGGTAAGCACAAAACATTATTTTGTAGTAGAGGAATTTTCTACAGCATTGCAAACCTTTGTATTTCAACTGTGCTATTTCTTTTTTTCTTTCATATCTATAAAGGGCTGCAGTTTAAATTATGGAGTTTTGAAAAAATGAACATATACAACTTCAGATGATGGCAATCTAATAATCTAATCCTTCCTTTTCTGTATATGTAGAGACAAGAACAGTAGCAGAAACAATTATGATAACATAACATTTACAGTGCAAATCTGAACAATGAAAAGACAGGTAATACAAAATTGAGGTTGTAATATTTAATTCATTACATGTTCTAAATAGTTACTATTTGTAACATAACAGAATTCAATACTGCTGTAACAATGCATTTTTAGTTTATTTGTGTTCAACTTTGAATCCTTAGCACGGTATACTTTAGCTTTGTGAATAATCTTAGAGTCATAGAATGGTTTGGGTTGGAAGGGACCTCAAAGATCATCTAGTTCCAACCCCCTGCCATGGGCAGGGACACCCTCCACTAGACCACATTGCCCAAAGCCTCATCCGACCTGGTCTTAAACACTTCCAGGGATGGGGCCTCCACAACCTCTCTGGGCAACCTGTTCCAGTGCCTCACCACTCTCATGGTAAAGAATTTCTTTCTAACATCTCATCTAAATCGACCCTCCTTCAGCTTAAACCCATTACCCCTTGTCCTGTCACTACACTCCCTGATAAACAGTCCCTCACCATCTTTCCTGTAGGCCCCTTCAGGTACTGGTAAGCTGCAATTAGATCTCCCTGGAGCCTTCTTTTCTCCAGGCTGAACGATCCCAACTCTCTCAGCCTGTCCTCCTCATAGGAGAGGTGCTCCATCCCTCTGACCAGCTTCGTGGCCCTCCTCTGGACTCGCTCCAACAGCTCCATGTCTCTCCTGTACTGGGGCCCCCAGAGCTGGACGCAGTACTCCAGGTGGGGTCTCACAAGAGTGGAGTTGGAGAGAATCACCTCCCTCGACCTGCTGGTCACACCTCTTTTGATGCAGCCCAGGACACGGTTGGCTGCATCAATAATAATAGTATCAATAGTCAATAATAAAGAGATGTGCTACCTGTTTGAACATATCATCCCGAGCTTTCAGTAGCAACCAAAATTAGTAGTAGAATTGTGACTTGCTCAGTAAAACAATACTGCGTTTTATTAAGAATTGCAGTTTGTGACAGTTCAAGGTCTATTCCAAATCACACTTTTATTGAAATATGATAAGATACAGCTCATTAGTACATTATTTTTGTATGTTTTCCTAATAAAAGCCATAGAATCTGTAAATAACAAAGGTGGTTCTTTTATGTGTTGCTGCTGAGTTTTCAGGTCATAGTTTACACTGAAACTTAATTTCCTAAGCTGCTTGCACCCTACTGTTGCTTGCAATCGAATAGAAGGCATTTGAAACTTCCTATGATTTCATGGCAGGCAGGAGCAATTTGACATTTCAGCATTTAAAGGCATCTGAAGGCATGTTAAGGTCAGGTTTTGGGAATAAGGAACCTTTTCTTCCTCTTCCTGTGAAGGAAACTACAAATTAGTTTACACTTCTGACAAAAAGTTCTAGTCATATTGCTCTAGCAAGCTTTGTTAGAAACAGCTGTCACATTGTACTGCAGTAGCTTATGTTGCATTCATTACTGGGTGCAGTAATATTAGAAAGTACTAGATAATATATCTCTCTTTACATGAGAGTAAGTGGCTGTCAAACAACTTTGGCATTTAAATAATGAAAATTTAGCCAACATTCACATGAATAGGCATGTTGTTTCTATTAAGAGAAGTATTTCAAACTACTCATACTCATGAAAACAGGTATGTTTCGACTTAAGTTTCAGAAACTTCCCTTGCAGTCAGATGTCTACCAATTGCAACTACAGTAGTAAAGACAGTGGAGTCATTACTATTAGTTTATAGAGTGGGTTGGGTTTGTTTTTTTTTTTTTTCCCAAAAGAAATAAGTGATCTATTTTCAGAATTAGAATGATATAGAACAACATGATTAAAGAGGAGTATGGTTGAGAGTTCAACAGTAATGGTTGTGGGATAAAAGCACTTGACAACTTCTGGGAAGCAGACGTCATGGTATTTGTCTTAGATGAGTGATATGTTAGGGATGGTGTAAATTGCTTGTTCTTTGGCTGATTTAACAGTTTTCCAATACAAACTTTTGAATTTCCTAGTTTATGTATTTCTGGTCTATAATATTCACAGCATCTTCTCTCTTTCAGGTACAGAATTCAAAATAATGCAGCTGAACATATATGTAAATTCTTAAGAAACCGTATTTAATACCTTTCTGGTTTATATATGAATCTATTTAGGTCTAGCACTAAAACTCAAAAAATTGCATTCTTCCTTTCAGGATGTTTACCTGTAAAGTCATCTGTATTTTGCTCTTTCAGTTTTTGCAGTAATTTGCCTCTCCATGAGGTTTTTTTTCAGCACTTATAAAAGCCTTTTTCCAGTCTATTTCACTGCTTATTTACTTGCACAATAGCAAGTTAATGTCTTTTCTCCCTGTGTACTATCTGTAGTTTATCTGTTGCAAACCTCCCCACCCCCAAGTCAGTATGCCTAATATAGAGAATTCGGTAGTGCTTCAAAGTTCTTGAGTCTGATGAACAACATTTCCCAATTCTTTTTAGAGCAAGACCTGAACAAATACATTATTTCTTACTCCATCTGTTTACGCACATGCTCACACTCTTCTTTCAGAGGGAGGAAAACTTGCACTGACTGTTCTGGACACTTCCCCGGTCCTAGCAAATTGAGAACAGGAGCTTGGGACTCACCTTGGTTTGCACCTACCACACAGTGCAGCAATAAGTTACAGTTCCACAATTAGTTGATCAGCTTCTGGAACCAATTGGAACTTGAAATAGTCTCATAACTGTGCTTGGTTTGTATCTTCATCTGAGGCTGGTAGGTGCAGGAAGGAAAGATTTTAAACTGTCTTTTCTCTACCTTCTTCTGATATCTTCTTTTCCCCTTTTCCTGGGGAGGGAAGTCCTTCCTGGCCTGTATATAGGTTTCAAGAATCTATTAGGTAGCTTTACAAGAATTAGATACTGGTTTTTGATATGTGGAGGAGATATAGTACATATAGTTAGTGTGATACAAAAAACCCCACTATTATGCCAGTTTCCATTCTTTGGTTTTATCTTTACAGTTATAACACCTTTCCTGTTAGAGAGAAGAGAACGCGTGGGTGATTTCTTTGGAAAGCTAGGAGGGATCCTACAAAATACTGTATTTAGGTGATTCTGTCAGTAAGAATATGACATCTTATTATTTATTATTCATTTACCACTGCATTCAGGAATCCTAGCAATAGGTACCTGAGTTCTGCTTAAAAAGAAAAAAAAAAAAAAAAGATCCTCAAAAGCTTACAGTGTAAGCATTACATTAATCATAATATAAATACAGATGGAAAAGGGAACAGAAGGAAGCAAGAGCTAACTATAGAGGTTTAGAAGTTTCATTTCCTTTACACTTTGTAGTCATTGTGATAAGAATAGCTTTAAATAGAATCTAAAGCACTATAGTGAGTGGGAAGGAGAATTAAACCTCACTCGATGCAGGAAGTCAGTAGGCCACATATGGCTAAGCTTGAGAGGAGTATAGGCTTGGCCTTTTACTGTATTTTTCTTTATGCTCTACTTTTGGCCTGTGTTGTAGACAGGATGGTGGACTAGAAGATTCTTTGGTCACACTGAGCATGGCTGACTATTATACTCATGTGTTAGGGTGTTTAAAGGAAGCCTCTTTTTGCAAGTATGAATATAGCATTGTGGGGGGAGGGGGACAACATAAAAGTGTTTGAAAACTTAAACATGAGTAGATAAATGCTAAGCTGGGATCCCTGGTTTGAAGAAATGGATTCTGAAACTGTTGATTAGGTGAATTTGGATCAACTTTACAAAATAGAAGTGAAGACTATATTTAAAAGTATCTCAAAGACTGTTCCCAGAATAAAGGGAGGAAGGATAAAATTTTAAATGTATGCATAAGATGTGTAAATAATTCTGATTTTACTTTTTTTTTTTTAAACCAGATCCAATATGACACTTTGGTGTGTTTAATTTATTATTAGACAGATCTTTTGCTAGTAAGAAATCAAATTCTTCAAGAATGGTTCTTTTGTCTCTATTCAGCATGTGGATTCTAATTTTTGAAGTCTGAAGGAAGTGATTACTTTTAGGAGTATTCCTGATGCCAAGAACTTGCAAAGGGATGTGCAAATATCTTTACTATGTTTACTGTCCCTAGAAATGACATCTTCTGTTAAACACTCTTCATGTCGCTCCCCTCAGAGTTGTGCCGCTGAAATAAGACTGATGCCCATCTGTGTTTCTCAGCTAGTTTTCATAGTAGAGTATGACATATTTCCATTTGGGCTGTACTTTTTTTAAAAATACTAAATACGATTCACACGATAGAAATAGAATATATCATAAATATTGTGTTGTCATCTGTTGTGTTTTGAAAGCTGGTTAAATACTGGCAGAAGATATTAGACATGAGAATATTGGAAAGAAAATTATCGTTATGATAGAGTTCACCTTGAAAAAAACTATTTCTTCATCCATATCCTTCTATAATTTCTCAGAAGAGATCTTATCAGTTATTCCAAATGACTAATATTTCCACCTTCTCTCCCTTCTTTTTTTCTTTTGTTTTGTCTTGTTTTTAATTTAACATGAACTTCCCCTCACAGTCATGATCAGGTGCACCCTTTAAAGTTATCATGCTATGTCTTGGAAATTTACCATACATATATTACTTTTTGGTAGAGCAGCTGTTTCTCTTGGAAACATAGTTTTTTATTAAAATCACTATGAAGATAACATTCTTCCTTGAACGTGGAAGTTTTGCATACAGATTTTTGATTGGCATTTGAGATAAATTTCCTGATTTGGTAGTCACAGCTAATGAATGTTAGGTGGAAAAGCTATATTTGCCCATTTCACTTTTGAAAACAATTTTCCCATAATTTTGACATTAAATGGAATAAACTAGGCATATTGTTACAAGATGTTGTCATAATCATGTCTACAGTGTGTCCCGTGTATATGCACGTGCTGCATTGTTGTATACAAGTGCATGCTAACTTCAGTAACTTTCCAAGAACTTGTGAGTGTAAACCTTATTTTCAGCACAGGATTGTCAGGCTTTGAAGCATCTACTGACAGGTCTAAGTTATCGTTATTATACCATTAGGGCCTGCTCTATATCCTGATTTTCTTTATTAAACAGTATAAGAATGATTAATTCTTAACAAATGTGCTATTAGCTGCCTTACTATCTTACATTATGTATTGCTTTACAATTGCTATGAAGTTATAAATCTGAAAAATAGATTTTATTTAAATTATTTTACAGTTGGCTCTGTCATTGAAATTTTGTAGTTGGCAGGTTAGTTGCATGAGTTGCACTTCATGATTGAAATATAATTATTGTGTAACAGCAGTGTAATTATGATCTTTGTTACACCTACCTGCAATTTTTCATATAAAACTTATTTTTGGTAGGAGGCTGGCTGAAAATGTAATGAATTCATGCTACTTTTCGCAGTTTATTTCAGATTTCAGTTCCCCAGTTAAGGGATTCAAATGTTTTGAGAAAGACCATTCTTTTTCCACATTTTTAAAAAGGAATTTTCTTCTTTCAAAGTCATTGTTACATGTTAAAAACTTTTAATTTATTTTTAAAATACTACAAACCAAGGTTTTGTATTTCCAATAAGAATATTTTGAGTTAAAGTATTACTATTTTGTTTATAATATGTCAAGAAAGGTGTATTGACATGAAATTTTACATTTCTTTTATTTCCTTTTAACCAGTAAAATGCAAAATTTGTTCTCCATGTGGCCTTAAAAACTGTGAAAGACTTTTTTGATGTTTTGGTTAGTTTAGATACCTTTTTTTAATATGTCCCTTTTACAGGTGACTGATTTTCTGCACAGTGTCATAATCAGTATCTAATAGAAAATATGGTAATAAACAAAATGTAATTTAGTAAAGACAGAATCCAATATTCTATTTAGTAGTAGAGAAAGTGAAGTGATCTAAATATATTTAATTTAAAATCAGTAGCATTAGCAGATTGTGGCATATATTTCCTGATATTTTTTCATTTCTTTTACAGTGTCAGATCTCAGACAGACTTGCAGCATCTTTTTATTTAATTTTCTTTTTTCTCCATGAAGAGAGGGCATGTTTAAAGGCAACAGTAATATTCTAGAGTGTTCAGCAAAGTTACAATTTATTCCTTGTGAAGCAGAGACTCACTTAAAACAAATTAACAACTTTTTCTTGCAGCAAAGATGATGCTTCTTAAAAAAAATAAATTAAAATAGAATAAGACTTTGCTGTTAACATCATATTGTATTTTCACAGGTATCCAAATTATGAATTTATCAGTGATAACTCCATATCCTGGTCAGCAGGACTTCATAACCGATACACTGAAAACTCCCTAAGAGGTGTTATTCTGGATATTCACTTTTTGTCTCAGGCAGACTTCCTGGTCTGTACATTTTCGTCCCAGGTAAACTGCAATACAAATACAATATAGAGTATATGTACCAGTTCTAAATTTTCATGCACCTGTTGTCTTATTCTCAGTGCTCTCATGAAAATTTCAGGGAAGAATTAAAGACTTGGAATGCTATGTGAACATTTATGAGGACTGTAAGCACTGGTTGATTACTTCCCTTCAATTGAAGTTACTGGCTTAATTAAGGCATTTGAAATAAACAAGAAATAATATTAAACATGTTCAAGAGTTCCTCATTTTGCAAAATTTAATGTATAACTTTTATCCATCCATTTCTATGCAACTTAGTTAAGGCATTTGAAATAAGTAAAAATAATTTTAAACGCGTTTAAAACTTCTTAATTTTGCATAAAGTTAATATATAACTTGTGTCCATCCATTTCTACACATTGTTGCACTCTACTGCAGTTTAAACATGTCTGCTGTTGCCCTAGTTGATTCTGGGAATGCAAAAGAATGAGGAAAGCAGTCATTTACTTTCTCTTCAGAGTCTATTACATTTCCAGCAATCCAGCAGCAGCATAGTAAATGTGAATTCTGACCACTGGAATCCATAGAGACTTCTTGTTGCAGATAATAATATACTACAAGCTTCCTTTCTTGAATGATTTGATGAAGCAAGTTGGAGTCTATTAGAAAACTGAATCCTATAATTGCCATTGTTGGCATTTTCTCTTTATTACATCATATTGTATATTGATTTCATATATCATTAAAAGCTGTTTTAAAAAACTTTTTTTAAGATTAAAAAAGACCAGAAAGCAATATTTTGTGACTGATATGCTGATCCACCTAATTCAAGTATGGCAAAATATGACTGAAATCAGAGTGAATGTTTTTACCAACTGTTGTCATATATGATCTTAGGTGACATTTCTGGTTAGGAAAGCATTCAATTATAAATTATGATAGATCGTGATCACACAAGGTTGTACTGCTACATGGAAGTGGACACAAAACTGAAAGCTAAAATTTACTTCAAAATGAATTCTGATATAAGCTGAAAAATAGATAATTCATTAAAATATTGTTATTAAAGAAATTAGGTCCATCAAGTGATGTGGAGTCAAGAAAAACAGCCTGCCTTGGCAGTGTGTTTCAGCAACATCACATTGAGATGTATAGAAAAACCACATGATAGTTACACGAAACATAACACAGTAGTAGAATTAAAATTGCACATTAAAACAAAGAGCTTTTTTGTCTCTTCAGTCTTCATTTAGATGAAATCGTAGCTCCCTCTGCCTGACATATTTTTCTTCATAATCACGTTTCCTTCCAGGACTTATTAGTGTTTGTATTTTGCATTGTACATGTAAGTATACAGGCTGCAAACCATGTGAGTCTATAAATAAAAAATGGGAGACTGGCTTTAACTGTAATTCTGCATGTGGATTCTTTGCCTACTGCCCTTAACAGTCGAGTTACCCAGGTTTGGCACTACAAAGGAAACAGTTGCTGAGAGGAGATGTATGCTTTATGTCAGGTATGCAAGGCACTTATTAAAAAGCATTTCTACTGAAAAGATTTTAAATCTTTTACAGAGTGTGTGTGTGTATTCTCCTCCTGGGGTGGGCACACATGCAGAGAACAAAACATCAAAAAACAGTCACAGAAGCTGTAAAATAAATAACCTCTTATCAATGTATGGGTAATCAAATTTGTTTCTATATTACGGGGTATAACAAGTACTTTGAAATAATTAACTTCAGCCTTATCTTTTGAAAGCTACTTCTGAAAAGTTATTTCAAAGATCAGATGGAGAGGGATAAAAGGAAATCTATTACATTTTTAAAGCAAATGCCTCTCTCAAAGAAGCTGGGAAAGTACAAATGTCTAGTTTGACTGATCAAAGATCTATTCACTGTATCTTCAGAGGGAGAAAAGAAGACTAAAATCAAGCTTAACTATATTTACATAGACTGAAAATGATTAAAAAGCTCAAATGCGTCTTCATACTGAAGAAGTCTGCTGTATTGTTAGTTTATCAAGCTTTATCAAGCTTATGCAAAATCAGAGAAAGATACATTAATGTAGATTAGAAGTCAGAAAGGTCACAGTGGCCGAATCAAGATACATGACAGAGAAGAGCATTCTAGCCAATTGTTGAGAAGAGCTTTATTTAATAGCAGCCTTTTGGGTTTCTGGCAACTCTGGGAAATGCAACATGTTTCTGATGTGGGCACCTGTTTCCAGTCTAAAGAAAATTCCCTTCATAAAATGTGATGCAATGACATTTCAAAGTGCATCTTTCTCTTCACCAACATCATTGTTGTCTTGCTGGAATTCAGTTTCATTTAGTTGTCTTCCAAGTTGCCAACAGCCATAATTCTATCACTGTTCTAATATTAACAGCATTTTAAAGCCTTAGACTTCTGGAACTGCTTGATTGTGGAAGTTGGAGCTTCCTTTAGAAAAGTAAATGTAAAGCCCCGTTATTGCAGAATAAATTTTGAAAATGCAAGTTCTAGAGGTTCAAAGGGAAGTAAAATACAGTTTTTATTAGTAGTAGAACAGGAAAACATTTTACATTTCATTGGCTACATACTCATTTTAAAAAGCAGGATGGCTAGTGTTCATATAGATGTTTTCAATTTCTATTGAAAAGTAGACTGTTTAAATTTTTAATTTATTTATTTACCAAACCTGATCACCAGAGTACTAGTTAAAATGCTGCAAAATTATATGCTTGTTTTGGTTTGGTTTTTTTGACCTGCACATTCCAAAACTTGATCCTCTTGTGAAATTCAATTGTTACATGTTGGTTGCTGACTTCTGTGGTGTATTGTAAGCACAGACAATATTTATGACTTCTCTTCTGTTTTTGTTTCTAAGGTTTGTCGAGTTGCCTATGAAATTATGCAGACATTGCATCCAGATGCTTCAGCATATTTCCATTCTTTGGATGATATCTACTACTTTGGGGGACAGAACGCCCACAACCAGATTGCTGTTTATGCTCATCATCCACGAACTGCTGATGAAATTCCTATGGAACCTGGAGATATAATTGGAGTAGCCGGAAACCACTGGGATGGTTATTCAAAAGGCATCAATAGGAAATTAGGAAGAACAGGCCTGTACCCGTCCTATAAAGTTAAGGAGAAAATTGAGACAGTCAAGTATCCTACATACCCAGAAGCTGACAAGTAGATTAAAAAGAAGACATTCAGCAGTAATTCTCAATCTTGATTGGTTCGAACCAGTCAATACACTAACTAATGGTTTATATGGGATTTGAATATGCATTTTAACATGCAGTTAAAATCAAAGCCTTTAGTCATGAAACTGGATAAGAAGCTGAGAACAAATGGATGGGCTATTACCTGAACTTACTCGTAAACATTTTTTGTTATACGCACTCTCACACATGCACACACAAAACCACATAAAACAGGAAAACTGTTTTATACTTTTTGTCTCTTTTCAGGATTTGTCCCAGTCGTTAGTCTTACGTGAGCTTTGAGCTCTTTTCTCTGCAATTAATTGACAATAATGTTCAGACTTATAACACTGCCACATTGTGTAATTTGAGTGACCTGAACATATTTTGTATGTGCAAAATTTAAAACATGGTGCCTATATTTGAAAAATTTGTGACCTTTTTAGAAGAGCCATGCCAATTTCACAATGGGCAAGAGTCAACCTTCAACTGGTGTTATGGTGACCACTGAACTTGCTTCAAACAACAGATTCAGATTTCAGACTAGATTTCTTTGCAGGTTTATTTTTAGCATTCCATTGATTACTTCTCATCATTAATAAAATAAAGGATACATCCAACAATAAAATAGTCACTGTCTGTTAGGAACTTCTGTAAAACAATGGCATGAACCGATTCTTTAGTACTGATGTTTCTGGACATTGCCTTTGATTAAAAAAACAAAACCAAAACAAAACAAAAAATCAAACCACAACAAAACAAACCACACAATCCACAAAAGAAAAAGTAGATGGAGTTTCGTTGACATTTTAAACACTTATTATTTAACACAACTGCTAGTGGCACAGTGTTTCCAGTTCTGTGAACAGTGG